TCTCTCTCTGTCTCTCTCTGTTTCTCTCTATCCCCTTTCATGTTCTCACTCTAGTTGAATATGATAAAAACAACATGCCTGTGCAATAATATTTTGTTTTTAATATACTTGTTATCACGATGTTGAAAGTCTGCCATCTTCGAATTGTTAATATAAATGTTTGTAACATGTGTTGGAGAGGGCTTCATATAAGTTTAATAACTTGTGCCCAATCCTTTTGTATCAATAAAATATGTTTAAACCAAAGGAAGGGTCCGAATGAGGGCAATGTGACCGAATAAACTCGAACGCGTAAGGGTGACATGACGTTTTATTTCCCCGTCATGGTTATATAATCCGATCAGACTCGCCATTATACACACGAGTTATAATACATATTCTAACATGACTCGTTTGCAACGCGTGTTTTTTTTTTTTTTTTAATGGTTACGGACCATGTTCTAATCTGCGATAGAATCATGATCAATTGTGTTAAGCTCCTCCCAACGCACTTAAGCCACGCCCCGTTTCTAACCAAAACAATGTGGCGTCAAGCTCGCCTCTTAGCAAAATCCCGCTGATAAGGCCACACAGAACAGAAACGACCGATGAAATGTATTTGTTGAATGAATAAAAAAGTATAAAATAAACATTCCTTATTCTTACCTCCATTTATTACTGAAACGTTCGTTCCATCCGTGTGAAGGCATCCATAGTTAGCTCCGAAATCAAATGAAACATTTCGCAAATGTCGTGCATACTGACATGGAAATGTAAGAATTTGTCAATATTCCTAATCCAAATGTGTCGTGTAAACTTTGGTAACAGGACGTTCACGAACAATTAAAATATTCCGCCTCGTCAACATACAGATCGGGCGCTCGCCAGTATGGGCGGGGCCAAATGACCGACTCCTGAAAGCTTCTCTCCGATTGGTCAGTCCGCTGCAGAATGACACGTCGCCAGTTCAGGTCTCAGAGTACTTAATTAAGTAATTTTGTACAAGGAAATACAATGTACAATGTACATATTAACGTTGTATATTTGTTAAGGTGTGTTAGAATGGGGATAGTCCGTTGTTTTTCGTGTCTAAACTGGCGATTAGAACATGTAATTTGGTTTAAACTCTCGCACCTATCGGTCACGAGTTCAAACCAAATTTCATGTTCTAATCGCCAGTATAGCCACTCAAAACAACATGCTATTCCCTTATTGAACTATTCAATTTTCGGTGAAAGTACATGATAATCACTGAACAATCCTTCTTTTGAAAATTACCAAAATATAAGTATTTCAGAAATCCATTTACATGAACGCGGGGCTCATCTATAGCCTTAGACTGTGCGTCATCCAAATGGATGTAGACATATATACATTAGCCAGAAGCTAGCTGTCACATACATGTTACAGTGTAGGGTTCGTGTACTCCACAGATAATAGGAAATAATGAGTTCAAATCCACTGATCTTTACAACGTCCCCATTACCAGTTCTAACAGCGTGATGCATGTACTATTCATGTTAGTATGAGCGAGATGCGTTTATTAAACGAGCTCTTTACGTAGTTAAATAGGCACAAAAGAAAGCTGTTAAAAAGCATCGATCTTTTTCCTCGTGATACTTTGAGACTCAATAAACTCTAAGATTTATAATGAGAACGTTATCAGCGCCAGTTCAATGGTTTAATTTACAGATTACAGCTATGTTGTCTGAAACTGTTGTCACGTATCAGTACCTTTTACAAACTTGGTTCTATCCCTGTTGTTTGTCTGGATAACCTTACAGATGAGTCGATATGTAACATGCCAATAAAGGTGTGAATTGTTTCCTTTGACACGAGCGTCTTTGGAGAGTGACGTATACTACATTTATATTTGTATAACATTTCAGCGGAGCCTCGAACCCAGCCACGTTTGGGCTCCCCGTACCACTAACGAAAACTGTGAGTATGTATTGGAAACTGATAAAATCATTTTTGAAATAAAAACTATAACTTGCAGGACTATGTGAATAAAATAATAGAGGTAAGATAGAGGATCCCTGCGCCACTATCACCAATTGTAACAAAGCACAATACACTGATTTATGAAAAAGTATTAGAAATGAAAGGAAACAAACATCAACCATAGTGTTTTAAGTGTGGCTAGACAAAGATTCGACCTCTGAACCTTAACTTCTAATACTGTCACGCTAACTTATTAATCTAGCTGGTCACTAGCAAGTCCGTTTGCCCAATGGCGCCACAGTTATACATGTTTGAAAACCTTAATGAAGGGCGGGTAACTGTGTATATAAAACATCACAAAAGTGTTTTCCTTGCAGTCGCTCAGTGATCCTTAATTCGTCATAGACAAAAATTGGGACTATTTAAAAAACAAAGACTGGTCTGTCCATTAAGAAATTGATTTGAAAGTGGGGGACATCCTATTAGCTGTGGTATGATTAAGGACGCTGGATTATATTACAAAGGTGTGTTTTTACCATATGGCACTGAATTTAGACAACCGTCATACAATGTAACATCTGTCCAATATTTAACCATGTGTTCAATTTTGGAACAAACCATTGCTTCAAAGTATTCCTTTTTAACACAACGACGTCATGAGAAATCCAATCGAGGAAGTAAAGAGGTGTTATGATAATCATCATTTAGAAATTATTATACTGTTTATGATGTGGTAGTTATCTTTTAACTGGCTGTGTTTGATAACACCAGTCGTTGATAAATCCGTCGACTTTTTTCTGTTTTATTACAGAAATCTCCGTATGGAACCCCTGGTGGTGAAAAGTAGCACCATTAGTTCTGATCGTGGACTGACATTTCTTTAATTGCATATCACTAGCAGATAGACGAAGGAGTCACACGGCGTGAATTATTCTCTGTATGTCCAATGCATCTATTCATCACTTGTACAGTTGTAACGTAAATCCTGATTGGCTATCATCAATTATAGATGACCAATCATATGAATCAAACCAGAGACTTCCCTCTTACCATACTCATTGTGCGATACCTCACTCAGGCCGTTAACAATATTGGCAGTTAGACAAATGTTTCGATACCAGAAGTGTCAATCAATTATTGATATATACATTGTAAAATGTACTAATTAACTTAAGTTTGTTTTTTATTTGCGCTTTATTCAGTTAAAACAACATCATTTATAGCAACTATTTGATCTTCAAACATTGTAGGCGCCACAGGCGGAAACGTTAATTTAAGACTATTCTTTTGATTAGTGATATCTTGTTAATATACCTCGTGATCGCGTATAAGTACCTGCATCTATTGAAGCGGCATACGAGGGTTCCAGCACGCTATTGACATGTGCACGGTGGCTGGTTCTACAGCGGGTTGTTCAATAAACCAATAGTTGTATGTATAGAGACAATAAGAGCTATAGAAACTGGTGTAGTTGTTACAATACTTATTCGAGCAAAACCTATATAATACGTTTAACATGTATTGATCTGTAAGAAGGATTGTGATTTAGTCAATATCGCTTTGTATGGCGTACAGAAACACCAAACGATGCATATGTCACATGATAAATCAGAGAAAAGATATTATCTTGTCCACTCTCTCTCTCTCTCTCTCTCTCTCTCTTCTCTCTCTCTCTCTCTCTCTCTCTCTCTCTCTCTCTCTCTCTCGTCCCGGTTTGCTTTTATTTTATCCAATATCTGTGCTGCTTCCATTGTTTAATTAAAAACAAACCTATCATTATATCATGAAAAAAATCATACCAATATTACGTATTCTACGATATACCTTGACCATGTACAGTTATCGCCGCTTTGATTATAAACACACGCGTGTTTTTGTATTTTTCATGTAGGGAATTAATGTCATGATACAACCCTAGGTTTTGAAGTTGTTGAGACGAAAAAAAACTGTATAGTTAAATTTTGGTTATGCAGGCATCATCACTAATATTTGTTGTATTGTGAGAACAGGATGTTTGTACGTAGACATTTGGACAAATATATTCGTAACATAGTGAGTTGCTCCGTGCCGAAGGGTGTCCAGCCCCACAACTAAATCCTAGATTCGGACACAGTCAGTGTTTGTATTCACTACATTACCTGATACGTGGCATGCTCTTTGATAGAATTCACAAGCGATTAATAATTTATTCTCAAGTAAACCGCATACGCTGGTTTTGACTAGTTATAATGAGTTAAAAGTAAATTATTTATTGAACGAAATAATCGAAAATCACTTCACTTCAACTATCCAACACGAAAATGGCACAGCTTTAGTGTTCAGTAATGGGTGTGTATTCAATCCCCATTGTCTGCTAAATCGAGTTCAAAGAACGCCTTGAGCTACAACGAAAATAGCGTTAGTTCCGAATGTAAAACCACTCAGCAGCAAAGGACAAACATTTTAAACTGTTTGTAATAGTGTACCAGAAACCTTTTATTAACATTGTGAGATTGCATATGGATTTATTGTTGAACAAATTGGAAACAAGTTATGTCACTGACAAGCTGATAAGCCTTCGTGTGCCAGACTACACATGTGACCTTTTGACCTCTTATGCCTCACTTCATATGACCTTGACTTCTTATGCCTCCCTACATGTGACATTGATTTCTAAAACCTCACTACATATGACCTTGACCTCTTATGCCTCACTACATGTGACATTGACTTCTTATGCCTCATTACATGTGACCTTGACCTCTGACGCCTCACTATATGACATTGACGTATTATTCGTCACCCTATGTGACATTACATGTACTTAATGCCCAACTAAATGTGACTTTAACTTCTAATGTCCCCACACATCGAACATTTGATTTTTGTCATTAATAACCACGTCGTTTTAGTTACACAAAATAAACCATAAAAGTCCAGTGATAAAAGAGCCCAGTTTTACGATTGACATTACTTATACCAACAACGCAAGAAAACAAATATGTCATCTATTTGAAATACATGACGTATCTTTGATAACTCTGATAGTATCTCATACAAAACGTTTCAGGTGTCGAAATAGAGGAGGTCTGGCCTATTTCAGCGTCTGGTAACCTTGTTACTCTATCCGGTAAGTCACCGAGTGTCGTCATTTGGAACACCTCGGCTGTGTCATTCCTCGTCTGATACAACGCAGATACAACCGACCGAGATGTTTCGCAAGCGAGTTTTACTAACAGAACACGACAATATCGGTCTAGCTTGGGCAAAGAAATAAAACGGCATGGGAATAATGACGAGAAATATTTCAAGTATAAATTGTATGCACATCATTCACGGTAACTGTGTTTGCCTGCAACCCAGTTTTAATCATTTGGTCTTCATGTAGTAAAAACTACCTGTTAATAAATGTGGCCCAGAATATAAAAGATAAAAAGATAGCTGTTTGTAAAGGTAACGTGACGTTTTCTATATGATTTTGTTTGTACCGACGGGTACAGACTGACGATACATCACACAGGTTTGTGCCTGGAGTCTGATCTGTGATGTATTCATATGTGTAAGATTTCAAAGGGGGAGTATTGAGTCAGTAAACGAGGCTACAGATGAGGGAGATTCGTGATCTCACGTCAAACCAAATTTTATCAAACATGTCGAAATTAAGAGGCTGTTTTATTACTCAATACTGCTTGACATGTCAGGTGTTAACCGCTAAACCATTGCTATACACGTTATTGTCACTCAGAACAAGCACGCTAGTCTAAAGTCAGGGCTCTGTGACCAGGAACAAACCAGTTAGTCTATAAAACCAGATATCACTAGAACTGAGTTCAAAATGTATGATACGATCGTTTGTTTTAAACAAAACATGACATATGTTTCATGTAGGTCTTCAACTTTGCAAAGTGACTTGTGTCTCTCTAAAGAACATGTTTGGGCGATTTCAACACATTTGACCACTGAGACCTTGTGTGTAAGCCAAACAAACGTGTTTGATTAACTGTAATGCTCTCCCCAGCACGATCGCTGCGTCATCGCAAAACGTCAAATGCACTTTGTGCCAATGTGAGCTATTAATGTTTAATATCCATGTTAAAGCTGACTGTCATTTACTGATGACATTTGTTTTAGAAGGTAAATATACATACAAGCATTATCACATGTACTGGAAACAGAGAGAGAGATTAAAACATGTGACACGGGATTAGGCTTAATCCTTCACTTCCAAGAACACTAGTAAACATGGTATGAAATGGTCGGTGTTTCAATTAAAGAATCTGTTCATGCAATGAACATTTGATAATAACAGTTTTAAATATGGCGCACAATAACCGTCGAAAAGATCTGCCTCTAATAAAAACAAAACAAACAAAACACAAACATGTTAGATTTCCAGATGAATAGATGAATATAGCGTCTATAATTTTCTTTTTGGGGTGAACCACCCCCCCNCCCCGCCTCCTTCCTGCGGGCGGGGTCAGTCCCTCTTATAACCCTTCCAAACTAGTCGCTTCGCTCCGCTGTTACGGTCTTCAACAGCAATTGCTGAGATAATAGCTTCAAATAGTCGCCGCCTTCCCGGAAGACCTGTCTCCGCCCCCGTTCTGGGCACTTAATACCCCAATTAACTATTCCTTAAGCTTCGTTACAAAATGTATTCGAAATTCAAGTGACAGCGAGCGTTACTTTAAACATTGGATGTCCTTATTTGTAAAATTTGTAATTCAAACCTTTTGACTAAGTGGCACCAAGTTAATGTTTACACGTCGTGTTAAAAGTTAATATCAATAATATGATCTCTGACTGTGAGACAATGCCTGTAATAGTGGAAATGGCGATAAAGAAAGTGAAACAAATTCCTCTTTTTCAATTACATGATACAGTAGTTAAAACACATTCCATTGCTAAAACAATGTCCCTTTCGAACCCCTGACATGCATGTTCTATATCTTGAGAAATCCTGTTTTACATAAAAATTGACCCTCCAGGACCCTAAAACAAATATGCAATAGAATGTCCATCTTTTAGTCTAGAACCCCTGTCATATGTAAAATATTGTCCCTCGAGAACCTCCAAGATACAAAATTGTACGTAAATCGTTACCTACCTGATACGCTTGCTGACTTTCCTACTGCCACACATGGAATTCCTAGCCAGGCGATCGTCCTTTCTGTCTGTAACGGAAACAATGTCAAAAGAATTAACAAAAGCATTATCATAAACATTCAACAGTTTATCATCCCCATATACAATGGCCCTCCGTCTGTTTGTCCTGTCCCGTATACAATGGCCCTCCGTCTGTTTGTCCTGCCCCCATATACAATGGTCCTCCGTCTGTTTGTCCTGCCCCCATATACCATGGCCCTCCGTTTGTTTGTCCTGCCCCCATATACGCTGGCCCTCCGTCTGTTTGTCCTGTCCCGTATACCCTGGCCCCTCGTCTGTTTGTCCTGTCCGGTATATATGGGCCCTCCGTCTGTTTGCCCCGTCCCGTATACACTGGCCCTCCGTCTGTTTGTCCTGTCCCCGTATACACTAGCCCTCCGTCTGTTTGTCCTGTCCCGTATACAATGGCCCTCCGTCTGTTTGTCCTGCCCCCGTATACACTGGCCCTTCGTCTGTTTGTCCTGTCCCTTATATAATGGCCCTCCGTCTGTTTGTCCTGTCCCCGTATACACTGCCCCCTGTCTGTCTGCCCCGCTCCCGTATAGCCAGGTCATCTTATCTCTCTGTCCTGCCCCCGAATGCAATGGCCCTCTGTATGTCTGTCCTGCCCCCGTATGCTCTGGCCCTCTGTCTGTTTGTCCTGTCCCATACACTGTCCCCTGTCTGTCCCGCCCAATATGCACTGGTCCGCTGTCTGTTTGACCCGTTTGTTTGTCCTACCCCCATATACGCTGGCCCTCCGTCTGTTTGTCCTGTCCCGTATACACTGGCCCTCCGTCTGTCTGTCCTGCCCCATATAAACTGGCCCACTGTCTGTTTGGCCTGCCCCCGTATACAATGACGTGCTGTCTGTCTGTCCCGCCCGGTATACACTGGCCCGCTGTCTATTTGACCTGTTTGTTTGTCCTGCCCCTGTATACAATGGCCCTCTGTCTGTCTGTCTGTCTGTCTGTCCTGCCCCGTATACACTGGCCCACTGTCTGTTTGTCCTGTCCATGTATCCAATGGCCCCCGCCCCGTATACAATGGCCCGCTGTCTATTTGACCTGTTTGTTGGCCTGCCCCCTTATACACTGGCCCTGTGTCTGTCTGTCATGGCCCGTATACACTTGCCCGCTGTTTGTTTGGACTGCCCCCGTATACAATGGCCATCTGTCTGTCTGTCCCGCCCCGTATATACTGGCCCGCTGTCTATTTGACCAGTGTGTTTGTCCTGTCCCTGTATACAATGGCCCTCTGTCTGTCTGTCTGTCCTGCCCCGTATAAACTGGCCCGCTGTCTATTTGTCATGGCCCGTATACACTGGCCCGCTGTCTGTCTGTCCCGCCCCGTATACACTGGTCCGCTGTCCCGCCCGTGTACACTGGCCCGCTGTCTATTTTACCTGTTTGTTTGTCCTGCCCCTGTATACAATGGCCCTCTCTCTCTCTGTCTGTCTCTCCTGCCCCGTATACACTGGCCCAATGTCTGTTTGTCCTGTCCACGTATCCAATTGCCCCCCGCCCCGTATACAATGGCCCGCTGTCTATTTGACC